GTGATGACCAAATTCCGTATATCAAGCGGAATGATCAAAAACCGAACCCTAACTCCTAAGTCCATATAATAGTATATATACCTTAGGCCATTAGGTATCGACAAGTGTGTTAGGGTAGGGTTAGGCGTTAGGTTTTGGCATCATTCCTTGATATACCGGAGTCTGTGCATCAGTTGATGATACACAGAAATCCGCTGCATCACTTCGTGATACCTAAGGTGCCTAATGTGGATGCACCAATGACCTGTACGTCTGTCTGAGTGAGATAGTTATGGCCCCTTGCGTAAATTGTTGCTAGGTCCAGTCGAGCTAGAGGCAGTTTATACGCGCGCGTGCCAAAATGTAGAATTTGCACGTGCTTTGTTGGGATAAACTGGTCTTTAGAACGTTGGTGTGGGGGTAGATAATAACCCTACACCCTGGGTGTTATCTATAACCCACCTGTGTCTGACCTCCTCTTCTTTCTGTCTCTCATCTCTTTCTCTTCTTTCTTCTCCTCTCTCTCACTCTCTCACTCTCTCTTCCCTCTCCCTCCCTCTCTCCTCTCTCTCTCTCTCATCTCTCCTCTCTCTCGTCTCTCTCTCTCTATCGCTCTTCTCTCTCGCTCCTCTCTCTCTCTCTCTCTCTCTCTCTCTCTCTCTCTCTCTCTCTTCGCGTTCCCCTTTCCCGGGGCGCAGTCAGTGCGGCACTCTCTCCCTCTCTCTCTTATCTCCTCGCTTCTACCTCTGCCTCTCTGTCCTCTCTTCTCCCTCCCCTCCCCCTCTCCCGGGCACCTCCCTGTGTACCTGTACATGAGCTCCTTCTCTACACCTTCTCCGTCTTTCGTATGAGTCGGCGCTGCCCACGTCTGCATCTTCTGTATCATCTCCGAACGTGCTGCGGTCACTTGCCCTCCATGCTTCCGCCACCTAGGCTAACGCCGTGAATCCCTTCAATCGTGATCTCCCGATCCTCGCGTGTTCGCCTCATCGAACCGCATCCGTCCGAAGATGACCGGCTCGCACGAGTTTGTACGCGCTTTTTTTATTTTCTTCCACAATCTTCTTTGCCCGTCCCGGCGCCAACTCGCCCCTTCCCGGCATTACTGCACTCGCCTCCCTCTTTATCACCTCCCGCCCCTTCCCGATCCGTCACCTCTTCCCCTTCTCCCCCTATCCCCCTCCTTCTCCCCTCTCCCGCGCTGTGTCACCTGTGTATGTTCATGGCGGTTCTCCAGCTCCTCCTCTAGCGCGTGCGCTCGCGCAGCCAGCCCTTCCCCTCGTCCCCGCTTTCACCCCTCCCCTCTCCCCCTCTCCCTCTCTCCCCCTGCCCCGGCGTCACCTCGTTATGTTTCATGGGGTTCTCAGCTCCTCCTCTAGCGCGTTGCCGCTGCGCGCAGCAAGCCCTCCCCTCTCCCGCTTCAACCCCTTCCCCTCTCCCTACTCCATCGCACATCACCTGTGTATGTTCATGTACGGGTCTCAGCTCCTTCCTCGAGCGCCTTGCAGCGCGTGCGCTCGCCGCAGCAGCTCCCTCTGCGTGTAGTTGAACCTCCTTCTTCAAGGTCCTCTATGTTTGCCGACGCTCTTCCGGACAGCGCATCGTCCGCTCCCTCCGCCAGCTTCTTCACCTGTGCTGGAGGACGGGGGTGGGGGAATGTGACAGCAGCAGATGTTGCTGCAAGCGCGGGGGAACTTGTGACATCTGATGCTGTGATGCAGCGGTGTGTGACAGCAGAGATGTGTGACCTGGGGTGTGTGACATCTGATTGTGCTGACGCGGTGGTGTGTGACAGCAGAGATGTGTGACCGCGTGGGTGTGTGACATCTGATGTTGACGCAGGTTTGTGTGACATCTGTTCAATGTTGTGAACGGGGTTCCGTGTGCTGACATCTGATGTGTGACATCCAATATCATGTAACATTTGGTGTTCCGAAAATTCCAATATGTGGACATTTGGTATGCTGTGACACCTGCCAATATGTGACATTTGGTGTTCTGAACACCCAATATGCTGACATTTGGTGTTGACAACCCAATATGTGGCATCCTAATATGCTGCACATTTGCGTGTGTGGACATCCAATATGTGACATTTGCGTGTGTGATATCAATATCATGCTAACATTTGGTGTCTGTGACACCCATATATGTGAACATTTGGTATGTGACATCCAATATGTAAATTTGCTTGTGACACCCAATATGTGACATTTTGGTGCCTGTGACACCCCAATATGTGACATTTGGTGTGTGACACCAATATGTGACATTTGGTATTGTGGACACCCAATATGTGACATTTGGTCGTGTGCCATCCAAGTATGTGCACATTTCGGTGTGTGACATTCCAATATGCTTGCATTTGGTATGTAGACATCAATACATGCGCCCGGAGCCGCACTCTAGCTTCATGACGCGGATGCTCTCGCAGTCCGGTGCTCTGTTACTGGAATCTCTCCCATTGTATGAGATCACTGGCCTGGATCTGATCTTCTCGCTACAGCAAGGCCATAGCTCGTCATATCGTCGCACCAGCTGGCCGTGCCCAGGATGTCTCTCTCGCTTGATAACCTGCGGACGTCACCGACGTTTGTGACAAACAATCGTCAGCATTTCCGCGCTGTGATTCCGTTCCCACAGTGGACATTTTCCAGTTTACGTAAAGTCGAGTTGTCTAGTGCAATTCTGGCTTCTGACAGATCTAGAGCCCTGCCTAGCCTAATAACCACAACTCTAAATTTTCTAAGCACCTTCTGCCGATGTTCGTAATAACATACCAAGCAAGACGTGACATTTTATACGACTACTTTATACATAAAGTGCTGAGTTGGTAATAGCATCCAACCTCCTAACCCAAATGCAACACTCTACCGACTACTTTTATGGATAAAAGATCGATTTAGTAATAACCCAATAACCCAACGGCTAACATTCCCGGCACTTATACATAAAGTGCAGTTAGTAATAACCTAGTAATAACTGCAGATGGGTAGTCGTTGTCGCATCAGGTACTACAGATATGTACCGACCTGCGTAGTTTTTAGGTTGTTAGTATTATTGTGTATATTTTTATATGAGTATATTTAGGTTAGGGTTAGGGCTAGCCGGTTAGGTTAGGCGTACACTTACTGTAGTTATCAAGTCTTGCGTTACACTGTGTATACATATATGTACCTCGGGTACATATCTGTTGAGTACCTGATACGACCTAACGACCCTCTTGCAGCAGTAATAACCACAACGGAAACATTTCCCGAGCAATCATGCATAAAAGTTGAGTTAAGTAATAACCTACGCAAGGTTTATGTAAGGTATTAACCGCAACGAGACCTACCCTGGTCCAAACTCTTTCTTCTTGGCCGCAGCCTCTCCGCATCGGCTTCTGGCTATGATCTGAGCCAGCTTACCTTCTGCCTCTGTCTCTGCGGTTTTTTTTTCGTCGATGTAAGGGACTTACGTCTCGGCCGCCTGCTGCTTCATGCGCGTCAGCTCGCGCCTTCAGGGCTTCCTTGCTGTCCTTCTCCACGCGCTGGAACTCCATGGCTCCTTCACCAAGCGCCGTCTCCTTGCCTGCAGCGTGTGCTGTGTGTTGTATGTGTGGAGCGTTAGGCTGTGGGCACTTCAGCTACATCTCTTCTGATCTATCTCTGTCTGTCTCTCTCTCCAACAACACACACACTCTCTCTTCTGTCTCTTCTCTCTCTCTCTCTCTTCTCTCTCTCTCTCTCTCTCTCTCTCTTATCTCTATCTCTATCTCTATCTCTATCTCTATCTCTATCCTCTCAATCGAATTTTATCTTCTCTCGCTCTTCTCTTTCTCTATCAATATATCTGACTCGCTCTCACTTCTTTTCGCTCTCTCTCTCTCTCTTTCTCTCTCTCACTCTATCAATCTTATTTCTCGTCCTGCTCTCTCCCCCCCCCCTTTTCTCTCTCCTCCTCCTCCTTCTCCACTGACCTGTGATCTCCTCCTGAGCTGGTCGATCTGAGGTGCGTCATGATCTTCAGCTTTGCGGCCGCATCTCGGTGATCTCGTCCTGCGCACTCGATGAGTTTCTTGCTGTAGAGATTGCGGTTCGCTGCCGCACCGCCTCGTTACAGGTTCTTGCTGCTTGCTATCACGCGTTCGTCTCCGACTCGGCAACTTCTTACATTGTAGTCGATCTGCCATTCTCGCGCACCTGTGGCAGGCGGGAAGAAAGAGAGAGGTTGAGATTGGGGTGAGAGAGAGAAAGCAGACGACGAGAGAGGCAGACACGAGAGAGAGAGAGACGCAGAGAGCAGAGAGGAGAGAGGCAGCATGCGAGAGACGAGAGGGACGAGGGACGAGATGATATAGAGATAGAGATTAGAGCATAGGAGATAGAGAGATAGCGCCGGGTGAGAGGGAGCGAGAGATAGAGATAGCAGATAGAATAGAGCATAGAGCATTAGAAGAGAGAGAAGACAGGAAGAAGAAGAGACGAGAGAGACGAGAGAGGAGAGGAGAGAAGAGAGACAGAGAGAGAGAGAGACAGAGAGACAGAGAGACAGAGAGACAGAGAGACAGAGAGAGAGAGGAGAGAGAGAGAGAGAGAAAAAGAGAGTAATACCACTGCACCCACTGCACTACCCCGCATAGATTCAGAGTTGCTTGTTATTTGACGCCATGGAACTATAAAGTTAGTGATGCCTACATCTGCCTGGCCTATAAGCCGAGCAAAACGAGAGAGATAAAGAGGCAAAGGAGCGCAAGGGGAATTTACGAGCATCGCTAGCAACCTAAAGCGCGGACGTCGCACGCGAGGAGGAGGGTTGGGGGGTCAGCAGCACATACCTTCACGTCTTCCATGCTCTGCAGCACCTTCTGGGTCAGCTCGCTGGCTTCGTTGATGTATCGGTCGCGATCCTTCTCCAGCTGATAGACCGTCTTCTGCTGCTTGCTTGCCTCGTCCTTGTAGTTCTGCCCCCAACAGCACACACATACATTTAACACGTGTCTGTGTACGTATAAGATTTAATAAGAATAATTATATACG